AAGAGAAAATAGAACGGAGAAAACGCGTGTTATGGGGAGTACCAGTGAAGTGTTGCGTATAAATTCTGAGGAAAGTTTTACATGAGAATGAGAGTCTGAGACATGTATGAATGCATAAGCTGGACATGAAATCGGTTCGGTTGAAACAAACGAATGTATTTTAAACTATGTTGAAACTGGATAGAAAATCGGAAGAATATATTCAAGATCAGTTAGGATAGATGCAAACAAATTTCGACTACTTCCGATCACCGTTTATATGCACATCCCGAGTATACATGTGTAATGCAGCAACTCTGTTTTTGACTCGCTTTCTCTAATGCGATGATCAACCAGTTGGCTATTCTGATGTCATGTTTAGTTTACATATTGTCAACTAAACGGAAGATGTCAACTTTACTGTAGGAACACTATGGCAGAAAATATTCGGCACACTTACTGGTGATAACTCCGAGGTCCGATCGCGAAAGATATCACAGTGTTGCACGACTGGGGATATGGGCTGATAATCACCCACTGAGAAAGAAAAAGAAATTTTATTGAGTAAGTGAATGAATATGAACAGCTGAGGAACAGGAAAAACAGTTGAATTTTTTTCCACGTAGAGGTAACAAACAATAACTGGTTAAACACTAAACGCTCACAAATCCACCAATGAACCCAGGAATAGCGACAGGATCAGTTGAAACGAGCCCGGTATTGTAAGCAGGCGAAGAAGCAATACCGAAAATTGAGAGCCAAAACAAAGTATCAAAATGGAAAGTGGTTCAGACCGAGTGCAGGACGAAAACAATTCAGACTATCATCCCAGTCGGGCGTGACTGTGACTTCTGGCAGGGGAATGTAATCCGAGAGAAATGGGAATTTCAAATCAACAAAATCAGTCCCAAGAGACAGAATTGTTGTCTAACGGGACCTGGATCAAAGGATACGCAGAAAACAAGTTCGGTTCCCTCTCCCCAAAGTAGTGATTTCAATCCAGTATGGTCAGATTAACGCCTGGAGCGATCCACGATAGAAACATGTTATTTGGGGTATTTGCAGAATGATTATAAGCAGACTGGAAATTTCATTAGGAAAACTGTGAGGTAGTTACATCTAATGATGAAATCGAGTGACTTAAATTCGGCACTAATCGGTAAGGATTATGGAGAGTTTGAAAAGGCTGATTAGGACTTATGACAGACGGTGATCCTGGCGGACTATTAAAGCAAGCGGAAAGTCCTTGTACTCTTCCCCGAGGCGTTGAAGCACATTGGCCAGTAATATGAGCTTACCAGACTTATGAATTTCCTGAGGATCTCTTGAGTGACGTTCATTGACGGAGGCCAGTGCAACGCGACAGTCAACCGACAGAGTTATGCTAGGATGCAACGTAGCCCACAGATTAAGAAAACATTTTTCTTGGTTCAGATGTGTTCTTCAACGTTCAGGTCAAGGGGAATATTTTCGAAAACTCCTGCCGCCGCATCGATGTGGCTAACAAACGCGGCTTCGTCGTCTTGCCTGGTACACGGAGTAGAACGTCTATCATACGTGATAAAGATGCGACAGATTGAGGTGATCAATAGGTTCTCTACTCTTCGAAAACAGACTTTGAAAGTTTCCGATTGGATGTCATCTACCTCCACGAAATCAATCCTCATCGCCATCATTTCGGCGACCATTTCCGGTTTGACAGTCGTACCTGAGATCAACAGACTACTGTAATCGAGGAGCGTGGCCACAGTGATACGTTGACTGTCCGTTTCAAGAGCATTCTCACATTCCGACAGGCTATGTGAACTCATGCCCTAGTGTTGTGGTTTACAGTTCCCGTATGCGTTACACCGGTCACAAGCAGAGTATGACCAGTGCTCAATAAAGAGATAAACTCATAAAGAGCATGTGGTACAAAATGGCATGATCAGTACCACTCGGCTTTTTACCAAAAACACAACTATGGTCCAGATGGATGTTTCGGATATCGGCTGATCACTCCGTCCTTGCACCTCACGAAATGTTCCCATATGACCAAGTGTCCCAAATAACCTCTGTTGAAGAAGCCCTACTCACTGCCTTCTCGTGGCGGAGGGGCTCTCGCATCTAACTGAGAGGACGAAAGGCTAATATCTGGAAGGAGCTATGACCGGGTTGGTGAACCATTGGCAGCTCACCGAGGGTAGTTGGCTGAAATTCCTGATTCTAAACCAACCAACAAGAGCCGTACGAATCACGAAAACACATATACACACCGTCTTGATTGTGGCAGTGGTCACCGCCTCGACTGGGCTTCGAGATCTTTGGGTACCTTGAACGCTTGGCCCGTCCAAACGGTGTATGAGCCGATGTACTGGACAGCGGCCCCCAATAGATTGCGGTTTCCACACATCGCCGCACTGTCTTGCGGGCGTATTCTGAGGCACCAGAATCCCAAGTTACGCTGAAGTGATGAGTCTTAATCATGAACAGACCGTAGGTTTCTGTATGAACACGATAACCTGTGACGAGGTAGTGCACGGCGAAACAACCAATAGATGTTGAATCACGTTGGTAAAGAATACCGAAACAACTACCGAAACCGAAGCTGACGAGTATACATAAAACACCAACGTATCCGAAAGTTTTGTTCCAATCCGGTCAAGGCATATTCTTTCTTATAAAGTTCAAAAAATAAATAAACTCAAATCAAGGATGGTCGATACACGTTTCTTGAGTGAATTTTGCATGTGATTCTCAAATTGCGATGCAGCATTAGGTGAAAAAGGCGAAAAACCGATGGTAAGGCTAGAATGGAAGGTGGAATGAGATATCAGCAATAATGGGCAGCGGTTAACTTATATGGACACTACGTAAGAACCAATGCTGTTATTATATAGATGTGTGCATGCGGGAAGAATTTCGAGTGGGATATGAATTAGAAAAAGCTCTAGGGATTTGTATGCAAAAACTAAGGTCGGCTTCCGACAACAGGTGCACATTTCTGATTCCGTGACTGCTCACAGTAAACTGATTTTATTTGTTCGAAGCTCGTGGTCGTGATTGTCTCTAGAGTACATTCACGCAATTTCCGTTTAGTTTCACAAGCCAAGAATTGAAAGAAACCATATTTGGTATCTAAAATATTGAATTACGGTAACTAACAAGTGAAGTTACGTAAACTAAATTATGCTTACAATATCTGTCGTTTGAACGTATACAGTCTAGGTTGAGCACGATGAACAGAAACAAGGCCAGGTGCTTCTTTCGACACCCTCAACACGAATGACAACAACAGGAGTGATGCGGCAAAGTTGGGAGTCGATTAGCGACTTGTGCAAACTTCAGAAATGCACTGAGGTGAATTTCCTCCACTAGATGCACTGTGCCAGAAACCGGCTTTGGGCCGCCGCGCCGGGGTAGCAACATTCCCAGATGATCGTGAAGTCGATTTATTCTCCCACAGTACAGAACCGAAGTAAGGCACAATAAGCAATCGGGCAGCGAATGACAAACAACAGATGTCGATCAGTAGCGGGTTTTCTGTTGAGTTCCAACTGCTCAAACGATTCAAACAGGTGCGTGTACTGTCCCAAACTATACACTTTCTACTGAACCTACTGATTCGCTTCGTAACCTTTCGCACAATCAGAGTAGCTTCCTTCTGACTCGTCTTTGTTTTAAACGGGTTGAGTTTCGCTGTGAACAATAAAGTTCATTTCATTGCATTGCAACGTGCGACGACGATGGCGATACGAGTCAATCGGAGGTACAATTAATTGGCCTACAGTAGGTCTCACAGATGAACGTAACCTGCCCCGCCCGCTCAGAAACAACTCACGAATGTGACAATAAATGCCCCAACACACTAGGCTTCGGATTTCTTGTACTCAAAACTATAGCGGTAAAAGTACAGGCACCGGTTAGAGACAGCGCGTACCGCCATNCCGAAAAATAAAATCGTAGAGGCCATAAACGCCAAACTCTAAATCGGTGGGCACATTGAGAACTCGATATCCATCTTTTTATCTTTGATTTTACTTCCTTCTATTGAATATGCAATGATAACATTTTTGGGAAGGAGGAAGCGACCAACCAGAGGGAAAGTCAGGCGGTGATGATGGGGTTCGAACACAAGTCCTCCGGGGCGAGGAGAGGGGATCCTTACAGCTTAACCACCGTTGTCTACAACAGCGTTGTGGATGATCCTGTCACAGGCAACCTAACTTTCACCTGAGTACTACGGTATCAATCTGAAATAAAGGAGGATCCATCGCCACCCGGGAAAAGTGTCGGTGTTTTATCAATGTTACTGGATCTGTGGGCTCCATGGTAACGGACAGAATACGGTAATCTGATTGGTCCATTCCATTAATCGGCACTTGCATTTTCCTCTCCGGAAAAATCTTATTTGTGAACAACTCTTGATTTATAGCACGATATTCACGATACTCTTTTCCGGTACCACCAATAAACGCTCGCGATTTTGTCATTGTCTTTCGACGGGACTGGTTGAGAAACGGTTCTTGGGACACAATGCGGCGATATTCTAGCAGACAAAACAGATCCATATCCAGAACAGAGTTTCAAGCTCCACGAAATCACAAACAAGTGAGTACCAAGATCTCAGACTACTTCATTCAGATCCGAGGTTTCACACAACAACAGCATGATATTACCGGGCTATTAATGAGGATCTCTAAGGAATTAACTCACACGAATTGTCGTTCAGCTCAGAAGAACGTAGACGATTGGACCTTGTAATACGTCTGCTTGTCGGACGACAACTGAAGAAGCGCGAGTCATCTACATAAGGTATGCTGTGATCCATTAACGGTGTGGCCAATGGGGGTAGAAAGGGTGTAACCGAATCGCTATTGCTTCGAATCTTGAGAGCTTTGCTACTGTGATCCGATATTCGAGCGGGAGAACCGACCTGAGAATCACCGGTTGCGGCCAAATCAGATGGATGGCTGACCGCATGGGTAGATAATTTCTCAAGTGTGGAAGAGAAGTCGACCGGCTGCCAAATACCTAAATCAGCGATTATTAGAGGAGGAAATCGGAATTAGCTACAAGGATGAAGGATGGCAGAAGAACGCCTAAATGATATAAACACGAGTCATCCCAGTGATTCAAATAATAAAACGTTTGTTATACGAATTCAGATTTTCGGACTAGTCTCATCTATAATTATTATATAATGGCTAAAAAATCAGTATCCTTCGCAATTTATTTCACAACCAGTGATTTGTCCCATACACATGAAGCTCAGGGTTTAGAAAAAACAGCCGCAATTTTAGTTGACACTGATTATTATCATCATTACCATCGAACAGCGGAATAGAGACTAGCGACATTCACCGAAAGCTGCAAAACGTAATTCATACAAGGTAAGTGAGAATATGCAGAGGATAGGGATTTGGTCGATTGGGGGAAGAGGAGACAGCGCGCCTCTACGTTTAACTCATAAAGTACACAGTTCAACTGTACATTACTACTACTTCAAGCATTCTGATCCGATAAATGGAAACGAGATCGCCATCATCGGTCTGCCGCCATGACCTTCAATGTCACGAACCATCCAGTTACGGAGTCTTTTGTAGCCCAACCCGGAAGACGAGAGACACCTGCTCAACACAAACGCTCTGGACATATCTTCATGCCTCGTCTCCACGTCATCTCCGTGAGGCTTTTTCTAACGCGTACCGGTGACTGTAAGGCACGATGAGGAAACGCAAAATTTGTCCTAACCAACGGAGTCTATGAAGCTGAATTCGAGACAGAATACTTGCACCATTAGTTTCCAAACACCCGACACCTTATATCTAGGCTATTAACCCCTTCATGTTATCACAACTGGACCAGACTACCTAAGCACCGGTTGTCGTAAAATGCATGGCGATGGATGTCCTTCACTCGCAAATTCAGGGTCTTACAACCGTAAAGCGCAGCCAAGCTTAGTGGTGCAGTATGCGCCACTTTTCAAATTCAGTGGAACGTCAAGTCGTCGCCACGTGTGTTTTATTCCTGTATGCTACTGGAGCCTTGGAAATGTGTGCGGTTATCTTTGATGGGCTACCGTCGTTGGTCACGAAACTACCCAAGTACGAGGAACGGTCGACTTCAGATAACTCCTGATCATAGGGTTTCAGAACCGGATTCGGAGACATCCAGTCCTGGAGCACCACTTTGCACTCTGAAGGTGCAAAACGCATACCGATTGGCCAAACAGCACTTGATAGTCTGTCGAGTGCGCTTTGTGCATCCTCCATACATTCGAACAGACAGACGATGTCAGCATGCACCAAATCGCATAGCCTTTCTAAAGCTGCCTATTGAATACCTACCTTTTGGAGACTCCAGTATTTCATCTAAGACGGAATTGAACAGGAATGGCAAAATGGGGCACGCTTGACTACACCGCTGCTAGTTTTGATCTACTCAGCTCACTATGGACCCTTAAGCTAACAGAAGTATGGGAGCAAATGGACTTCAAAAAATTCACATACTTCTGCTGCATTCCTTTGAGAAGAAACGAACCCATCAGGGCTTCGCGGTGAACTGAGACAAATGCTCCTTCTAGGTCAAAGAACATGACAACCGTTAGTCAACGGTATATGGCCACTTGAAGATTCTGTCGATACAACCGCGACCTGGTCGGAATCCTGCTTGCTTTTACGGATACTTGTCTCCCTTAAGGGCATCAGACGCCAATGGGGATCAAACTTATGTCGCGGTAGTTTGCTCAGTCGTGGCGAGATTCCTTCTCGAAAATTGGAATGATCAGTGATTCGCTCCAAGATGAAAAGCAATAGACGTTTTTAGTGCTATGCGCATGCATGATCCGAAGTGAAGCAAGAACGTCCACGAATAAGTCAGTTGTCCAGGTTTGTTCAGTGCTGTAAACTGTGTGCGGCTATTCGTAAGAAGAACCCAACAAGGTTATCACTAGTAAAATGAAGTTTATATGAGACATGGAATAATTAATTAAGAGTTGAGAGAATTGCGTTACAAACACGAGAAACTCGCTTCGTGGTAAACGGAACCCGAAAGGTGAATACGTTTACTCGTGAACAAACGATAATAACCGGACTCTGGAGGTAACAGTCATAGCATTCTCCAGCCCCGATCGATTTCGAACTCGTTGGAATTTGATTGGTTATTACCGGTCTTCCCGCAGATGGGATATTGGACAGAGTAAAAATTAATGAAGAAGTTACCGAGAGGGAGCTATTTGCACGTGAACCTTTTGCCCAACAGATTTCATAACATAACCAATAAAGTCCTCCGGAAAAGTTCATTTCAAGTTGAACCGAATAATAGAAATGTGCGTACGGAATATCAGACCCAGTAACCTTTCCACAAATTTGGGGACTCCATGATTCGATGGGCACTGGGCTAACTGTAAAGCGACAGGAAGCATTCTGTTCGGAGCACACATTCCATTGCACAGCTCAGGTTTGTGATCGCAATCGTTTGGCCCTGGCAGATAACAGGGAGGGAGGAGGCGAGATACTATGATCAAGCAGTATAAAACTATTATCACAAATTATTGTCTGTATGTGAGAGTCAATATGGAATAGACACCATTTATACAGATGGTTCTAAGTAATCTTATAGAATTGAAAATATCTCCTGGAAAACGAAATCACACAAAGGCGATTGTCTGGATGTTAGCTGTCCTCGCAAAGACATTGAACTTCGAGGAAGTCAATCAGGAGAGATACACACCGTATTTCTCATGATAACGATGGGGGAATTCATTAGAGTATTAAGTGAATTTCATCGTGCACAAAACAAATAAAACGTGAACTGCAAAGCTAGGAAGCACTGGACAGCTGTTTCGGCCTGGTTGGGTCTCATAAGCAGTGTGAACCATGTCGGTATTTGACTGACGCATAATCACACCGTTGATTCGCCGGGTATGCGATCAGATACGAACAACACCGTGAATATATCAACGTTCCCGACACCCGACAACCTCACGCACAACTCAGGATCGGTTTGACGAGCTGGTTGGGCCACCTCACCGCAGTCTAACAGTCGCTGCGTCGTGCACTCAAAACGCCCACCGAAGCACATGGACGTCTTGGAGCAAACCAATGCGTGGTCGAATTCGAGGGGAATGATGTAGTACAACAGGCAGTCTTGCAGGAGGCCTCACTATTTGTGGCGCATAGCGATATGGTCATTATAAACATCAGAGAGTAAATGGGAAAGTACAAAATGGATGGGCTTTAGGTCTAATTGGACGGAAGAAAGAAAGCGAACTTCTATGGTCAACACCCAGTGCATAACTTTGCATACATACCTTCTCAAGCATTCTGATCCAATAAGACATGACAAGAACGCCACTGCTGTCGGTTAGTTGCCATATCCTCCACAAACCGGTTACAGTCTTTCTGACCCCTACCTGGGAGACGGGAAATATCTACTGTACCTAATCGCTCTATACAGTTATTCACGCCTCCGTTTCAAGTTACCTGTTGACCTCAATGTGGTTTCGTCTAACCTGGAGCCGCAGTAGCGAATAATGCGAGGTGTGGTAAACGACAGCGGGGCACGCGCAACACATCCTAACCGGTGAAACCTACTAATCGAAGTAATATGCGAAAACCATTTTTCCACCGTATCATTATTAAATAAGGCTAACTTTAGAGTCTCTTATATGCTGGCTCTATCAAAACCGCGCCGAACTACGTAAACATCGGCAATCGACGACTTCCACACGACGAATACCTAACACGCGAAAATCAAGGGTGTCGCAACGATAAAGCAGAAACGATCACAGAGCGGCGGACTATAAGCAGTCTTTCAGTTTCAAGGAGACATCACATCTGCACCAGAGGTATTTCAGCCCTACGTGCGTTGCTCGTGTCTTCGAATCGCGGGCGGTTACTTCATCGAGTACCCCCGCCTCCGTCAATCGCCAGGCAACTACCTGAATAGGAGAAACAATCCACTAAAACAGATTCGTGGCTATTTAGTTCAAAAGTTGATCTAGGCAACACCAAATCTTACAGCATAACCTCGCATTTTGAAGGTGCGAAACGCATACCGAATGGTGTTAAAGAACTTGAAACTTCGCCGATGCGGTTGATGGAGATGTCAATCGGATAATGGAGCTAGAGTCTTGAATGTGAGATTCTTGGATATAACATACGTCGAAAGCTAAGATTTCGAGGGCACGAGCTGAACGTATCTGTTGTCCTATAAGCATTACAGTACGCACATAAAATACGGCTAATTTGAGTGGACATCGAGAACGAAGAAAGGCTTCAGCTGGTGGGGGATTCATTGGGACTTGGACAACAGCTGAGAAAAAAGCGGCAGAATTTCCACCCGCGGCACTACTGTTAGTACGATCCTTTGAAGAACCCGAGAGATACAGGTATCAGGGGTTCAAGATGAAATAAGGGAAGGCTGGGGTTGTGCCCGGTTTAGAATGATTTTCGCTGGATGAGGGGGCACTAGATTGAATCATAAGCGATGGAAAGTTCACGGTTGTGTTGTTGATTGTTGTACTACTCGGTTGCTGGTCCAGAGAAAGAAATATGGACACCGGAAGTATTCCACAAATTCGTGGTCGCGGGAAAAAAGACGCTTGGAAGATGGAAGTTCGATATTTTGGACAGAATTCTGATAGGAGGACGGCACTGAGAATAAAATGAAAGAGAAAAGGTCAGGGCTAAGAGGTCTGCTGAAGCGAGTTGAGAAGAGAGAGAGAGAGTTGCATAACTTTGCAGCTGAAAATGGTATACCTCTCTGAGATAGGGAGGTACTAGGTACATTAAATGTGCATTCAACTCCCCGTCACTGCTGAGCAATGGTATGGTAGACCATTCTTTGGATTTCCTCTTCACGCACAATCTTCATCTCACCTAGTCAACCGTACATAAAATGTATGAAGCAGTTTCAGGTGTTTAAAAAACGTAATTGTGCAGGATAAAAAATATAATTCCAGACAGGGGATTACACTTATTTTAGCGTTATCATGTACGGTTTTGCTTTTCACTAAATGCTATACAGCTAGGTAGTCGGTCTCTATCATTATAAAGATGCCATCACGACGAGACTGCACGCTGACGTGGTGTGATGGCTTGCGTGCCTCAATGACCCTGCAAGCTATACAGGATGGCAGTTTACCGGTCAAAAGAACCCCGCTAGATGGATGTAGAAGAGGGGTACCTGGGGCTTCTTCTTGACGGTCGGAGAAGTCTTCGCACTTCATTGGACAGCTACCGCCCGCCCAAGCTGGGCGGCTCCCAGCCAATAAGGTGCTGTCCCGTCCACGTTCCGCTTGTCTCATTGGGTGCATGAGACTAAGGGCTCTTACTGATCAACACCTGTCGATACGGACCACGCTTTGCTGCGAGCCAAATTCTCCTCACGCCTGGCAAACAACTGTAAAAAAGCCTTCGAAAACGGATACCTACGGCAGTTGCAAATCGGCCTTCGAAGCGGAGCTCTCCGAACGCATTTCTGTACAACCGCCAGCCGAAGGACTCAATGAACACTGGAAACAAATCAAGGAAGCCACGCAAATATCAATAAAAACGTCAGACCCTCACACAGGCTCAAAACACAAACGATGGATCTCATAAACCTCGGCTGCCCTGCTGGACGTCCGCAGAACCCTTCCTCCCGATGACGCATATGACACAGCGCGCAAATCCCTTAAACGCCAGCTCATCAAGAGTCTGAAAAATGACCGTGAGAAGTGATGGATAGGAAAATGTAGAGAGATGGCTGCGGCTGCGTCTGCGGCTATTGGTAATAGTCGCAATCTTTTCCGTCTAATTAGGAATACGGGTGGTAGGAAAATAAGCGTGAGGTAATTGAGGAATCCGATGGCACACTGATTCACGGCCAGCAACGCGTCTTGACCGATGGGCTGAACATTTCAAGGCTCAGTTCAACTGGCCCCCATCGACATCTGAACTGTCACTCTCCACTGCGACTGCGCAAATTCTGCCAGTCGATGAGAGTCCTCCATCTGAACTGGAGGTTTCCCGGGAAATAAGCTATCTCAAGAGGTATAGGGCCTCAGGCCCAGACGGGCTCTCCACATCCGTTTTTAAGGATAGAGGTTCGGCCTTGGTTTAGGAGTCAACGAAACTCCTGGGCTCAGTTTGGGAGAGGGAA